TCCTTTCCTCTTTTCATTTCTGGCAAGAAAGAACGATCAAAAACCCTTTTACTTCAGAAAACATTCCAAATTTGATCATCTACTTAATCCTGTGAATAATAAAAATAATAACTCAATATACAATATTATATATATATATATATTATTTTTATATTTTATTATATTCTATTACTAGTATTCTACTTATAGAATAGATTTTACTATTCTATTTAATTTGTCCGTTACAATTTTCCCATTATCATTTTTTTTCTTTTTTTTTTTTCCTTAATTATAATCAAGTAAAAAAAAAAAAAAAAGACTATAATTTCTAATAAAACACCCTCGTTGCAGTAAAAAAAAATCTTTGCTTTCACGCCAAGTATCTCGAGAACATGCAGTTTACCTCAGGTTTCGTCTTCCCTGAAGCAGTCTCTCAAACCCCCGTGGTTCTTAACCCAGGTAGAATATTGGTTTATTTATTTATCTTTTGGAAAGCGAAACGCGTTCGACTATACGTTAGTGTGGTTTACGCGGTTGATATTTATAATAACTAAAGATAAAGAAATTTCGAATAATAAAAAGCGTGTCAAAATGAGATTTTATAAAGTTTATTCGCGTATTTTTAGTTCAAATAATTAATAAAGTCTAATTTATTTTTTTGACCTCTTGGAAATTCGGTTTCTCAGACTTTACATTTACATGTCCACCAGGAGGTGCACCTTTAAATAGTTTATCGCCCCTTCCTTTAGGAATGCCACCGAGTGTCCCTCTGAATATGTTTTCTCTTGACAACACGCAAGCAACGCAGGCAACACAAGTTTCCCAATTACTTTCACCTGCACCTTCGTCACCACTTTCTATACTTGAATATCGCGACTCGCCCACAGCGGATGAATTGGACATTCCTGAATTTTTCCAATATAGCAAAGAAAAATATGAAAGTCAAAAAATGGGATGTGGTCGACGGAGGAAATCATCACGTGATGAACATTTCGATAATTCTTCTTTAGATGGAGATGATATTGATGATACAAGCAGGTATTTATAGTGCACGAGAACAAAACATATATTTGATTGAAAATATCTCAATTAGATTCTATTATTGGTTAAAGCACAATGTCACATGCTGAGTTTAGGCGTCAAATACACATTCAATCAGAACAAAAACGACGTGCAGAAATCAAAGATGGTTTTGAGGAACTCCGTAGGCAACTTCCGACCACTTATACAGGTCGCAAGATGAGTAAAGCTGTCTTATTACAGAAAGGTGAACACAATTACTATATTTATGTTTCTGGTGCTACCTAACAATAATGCATGTAATTTTTAACACAACAATTGTTTATTTTTTATTTAAAGCTGTTTCACATCTAAAGAATCAGTCAAGGAAGGAGTCTTTTCTCCTCGATGAAATCAATCGCCTGAGTCAAACTTGTATCTATTTGAATGCAGAATTGGAAAAGGAGAAAAGGTAAAATATGATTTTATTTTACACTTTACTTTACTACTTTCATATTATTCTAGAATACTCTATTAATATATAATATGCATAACTTTACTATTTAATTCCCAAAAGAATGAGCGCGCTTTATAGACAAAAGCAGACTCTTGATAAAATATATGCGATTGGGTTATAAACAATTACAAGGACATTTATTATTTTTCAGAACTTGCCATCCCTCTTTGTTCTCGTTTACTTTTCTTTTTTATCCAGCTTAACCAACCGAAGAATAAAGCTTATCGTTAATTTATCAATACTCTTTCTTTTTTTTTTTTTTTTACACGTTCTTAGAATCAGATTTTTTTTATGTGTCAGAAGCATTTTTCGCAACTCTACATAATTGTATATTTCGTTCATTCCTACGACTATTTTGCTAAGAAATGGTTATTACGCCAGCATTCATATATACATCTTTTTTCATCTGCAACGCAAGCTTTAGAAATGTCTTTTTTTTTATATATATATACATGGGTATATATATAAATCAGTTCCTTTTTTTTTTTTATATTTTCACGTTCTTTTGTTGGTGTTTTTCTTTGTTTCTTTGATGACCTCTAAATTTGCAGTATTTTCTGTTAGCTGTTCTTTCTTTTTAGTCTCACTTGGAATTTCTTTTGGATGTTTATTTTTTTTTGTGTGGCGCCACTGGGCTGGCGGAAAAGCTGGACAATTCGAAAAAAAATAAAATAAAAAAAAAAAGGAAAATGATTTTTTTTCAAGGATATTGCATGTCAAAATAGAATAGAAATATTTTTTATTTTTTTTAATATTTTTTTAATTTATGATTGATTCCTCGTCTCTTCATAAATTTATTACATCAATTATGAAATCACCTCTCAATTAAATAATTAAAATAATTAAAATAATTAAAATAATTAAAATAATTAAAATAATAAAAATAATAAAAATAATTAAAATAATAAAAATAATTAAAATAATAAAAATAATTAAAATAATAAAAATAATTAAAATAATTAAAATAATAAAAATAATAAAAATAATTAAAATAATAAAAATAATTAAAATAGTTAAAATAATTAAAATAATTACAATAATTAAAATAATTAAGATTAAAATAATTACTGTAAAATAACTAAAATAATTATAATAATTTATAAAATTTATGGTTAAATTAAAACAAAATGAATTATCATCTTTATTTAGACAAGCAGTTTTAGAAAACGCGTAATTTTGACTGTCCCGAGTTTTTTTTTTGCATTGTCCCGTCCCATCCTGGGATGTCCCAACAATGTTTCAATTTTTAACTTATTTAAGTCATATTATTTAAATAGCAACATATGTATGTAAAATTAAAATTTTAAACATGTTTATTTAAAACCTCAATTTTGTTTCAGCTGCGGCATCTACGCGTGTTTTAACTAATACAATTTAATCCGCGGGCGCATTAATGGTTAATTTGTCAGTTCTATTTTTACTTAGTCTCGTGACATTAATTACAAATAATGAATAATGATGATTTATTTACATTAAACATAATTACTATCAATTAACAGAGGTTCCTTAATTACATTTAAAATAATTACTGCTAAGTTTTGATAAATAGTAAATGCGTTGATATGTTATAATTTATGCTATAAATTATTAAATAATTAATTATTTATTATATATAAGCAAAAGTTGCGTGATTTTCAAGCTAGACAATGTATTACTATTATTACTGTTAAACAACCATGTGCATGTCTTACATGAGATTGGGAGATTTAGAAATAGAATTAAATCCGACTTAAACTGAGATGCAACGCATAAACTCTAATTGTAAGGATCATATATATATATATATATTGTAATTCTAACTATCTCAAGTGGTAACGATACACTACATTTTTTTTTTTTTTTAAATCAAATTGAGTTGATATGCATACAATATTACAATATCTGATATTTTGCCTTGTTAATTAAGTTAATTAAGTATAATGGTGAATGAATGCGCCTGTTATGAAGCTTGATGGTCATGTGACACGGCTAATATTTTGTAGTACACGGCAATTTTTTTGAAATCGCGTATGTGTTTTCTTTAAACTTTGCATTTCTGCTAACCTAAAAAGAGAAAAGATATAGAATTATGTACCCATAACGACTATTAAAAAAAATTAAATCTGAAAAAAGAACTTAATTTAAGATGTACGATAAATAAGACCATATCCAGGTTACCCGGTGACGCGTACCGTGTATAAAATATATACTGATTTGTTCGATTATTATAATATACGAATTAAGATTTGTGCAAGTAACACTACTATGAAGTTTGATCGAAAGTACAAAGATTCGGTGTTAATTTTGCATACATTCTTTTTAAAGAACTTGATAAATAATATAAAATATTGTGAAATCAGAAAGTTATCAGAAAGATCAGTATATCCAAAGATTTAAGTTATTTGTTTTCTTTTTTTTTTTTTTTTGAGCAGATTATGCGATAATAAATTTTTAGAATTAAGAATCGATCTCAAAGAATATTCCCATGTAATTTCAGGAGAAACTTTGTGATTGGTAAATAGAGAATCTAAATTGTATGAAAAGAAGGATTAGGTTAAGGTTCCTGTTCGAAGAACGACCCCCTTAATGTATTTTATGATGAATATTATCATTTTGAGATTTCGTGTACAAAAATATATTGTTTCGATCGACTTTCGAGCAATAAATCTAAACCGTTTCACGAAAAAGAGAAAGAAGAAAATTTTTAAGATTTAGACTTTTTCAGTAATTGATTTTGGATAAATGTTTCACGAAAAAAAAAATCATTGTTTTATATCGATAGTATTTACGTCTCTCATTACAAATTTAAAAATTTCCTAAACGCGATTTTCAAGACCGTAATTATACGATAGGTTCTTAATATCACACAAATATAACTTCCTAATAACTGTACACGATTTGCGCAGTACATGAAATGTAATTATTACATTTTATTTATATTAAAAAAATGTATATCTTATAAATAAGAAAATCAACTGAGATCCCGTTTTCTTTATAAAGTCGATCACACCTTATGATGAGCGTCAATAGCAAATAATAGCAAATATTTGTATACATCAATATACCATCAATGGAACTATCAGTGCGTCAATGCTGACATTTATTGGTTCTAACGAGTTTGTTGTTTGACAAGCATGTCCGATCATACATAAACATTGTTCTATTATCCGCTGTGACACGATACTCTGAGTCAATCATGATCAATTGACGCTATTATTTTTATTTGTTTATAAATATCAAAATGTTTCTAATAATCACAAAATTAACAAGCATAAATAATAATTTCACAAACACAACAATTCATCACATATAAATAAACCATTTCAGGTTTCTTTCCTGAGGCTTGGCTGTGTTCTTCCATTTCGCTTATTCACAAAAAGAAGACAAGAGAACTTGATTTTTGCACGAGTTTTAATCGATCAATTCATCCGATTTTTAATCTGCCACATATATCCAAAACTAGCAAGTTTTATTTTTATTGTTTGTTTATTAATATTTTATGGTTTAGTGAGATTATTGATGATAAATTGATGATGAACGCAGATTAACCAGTTTAGAATTTATAGTTATAACGATAAATAAATATATATTATATATACATATATATTTAAATAAATTATATGCTTTTATACATTGTCAATTTAAAAGGTGAGAAAAAAAACCAATTGATGATCGATTTTCTGTTATCAAGCATATATCATATGTTTCAATGTTCAAAATTACGTATAAATTAGTAATAAAGTATCCATGAGATCAATGCATGGGGCAGAACCAATTACATATCATCTTATTTTTCCTACAAATTCCAAATATATCATAAAGCATAATCGCATTTTATTGTACACTAAATCGCATATCATACGTATATAGCTGTATAGTTAACATTAAACCGTACAAACTAGTAATATCCAACTCCCGGTTTATTTTATTCCTCAAACAATGCGTCTCCGGTTCTCCGCAACTTCACAATATGTAGTGTTTACAAAGTAAACTTTAAATTCTTTTACTCTTCCATCGAACTCGTGTAAGTACTTCAAACAACATAAATACTTTTCTATCAGACTTTCTAAAAGAAGTAATCAAGAGCATGAATAAGAACGTGGTTACATTTTCATACTAGATTACGAGATCGGAAAAGATCGGGTATTGCGTAAATATTTCGTGTAACAAGTCAATAACCCTATTTATTAAATCTGTTATTATTTTTTTATTATTATTTTAACTGCTATATAGAACAATTAGATAGTATATCACTTATCTGATATAGTTATATTATTCATCTTCTCGGCTTCTCGCAGATCTCAACTTTGTATAACACAAAAAAAAAAAGGTTTGTTTATAATTATACGGTCATATTTTATCGTTACATAATCCCGAATTCAATGGAATCAAGCATCCAAGGAAAGATATTAGTTTGCAGCCGATATCAATATAATGTAACACATTATTCATTGTTGCAGTAACTTTATTTAATACGCATGTTAGCACTTCCATTCCCTACTATGCAAGTATTGGGATACTCATAGATGTCAGAACTGTGAATGACGTTTGTTGGCAATCCGTTGAAATACACGGAATAAAAAAAAAAAATGATAAATGTCAAGGAGCACGAGATTGTAATTTAACGAACAGATATTATTAATAATATACAAAGAAATTTTAGCATGGTGTTTACAAATATCTTCTAAAAATGGAATTATTGAGGAGGTTAAAAAATTTCAAAACAAGTGATTACTGGTCTATTGTTGTACTTTACATTTTATATTACCTTTACTAAAAAGTTTTTTGCCCATTTTTTTCACGAATCCACCTGCATTGATCCAATAATACAAGAGTATTGCATGAGATACCAGGTTAACGCAATTTTTAGATTTACAATTGCTAATTTATATTAATTTATACTGCTTATCTTTTCAAGAACCACATATTTCTAGGGTAATCCAGAAGACCAAACCAGAATATTTGGTAAATAAACTAAATTCTACTATGAATAATCTAGTCACCTTTCATTATTCTGACACATTCATACTTCATCCGTATCGCAAATTTCAATATGCCAATGGCTTTAACGTTTAATCGCGCCAAGGTTCCTTAACAGTATGTATAAATCTTTATATGGTAAAATGAAATAATAAAATAGTAAACGGGCGAATTTTTAGGCGCTTTTTAACCAACCGGAATTTGCCTGGAAAGCCCTGAGCTTGCTAATTTTGTGATGTATTCATACTTCAAATTTGTGACATAACTATTTTGTCATTGATAGAAATAATGCCGTTTAAATACAGAATGTTCAAGCTCAACTACGTATACGCACTTTACTAAAAGTACGTATTCATTTTTTTTTTTTTCTGTTATTAAAATATTTATATTGTTGATTTTCGAGAAATATATTTATGTAAAAACAGAAATTTTTATGAAAACATGTATTTTTTAAGTTTCATAGAATAATATCGGCCTTTAGGCGTTTTTTCATACTTAGTGTTGATAAACAAATATATACGTAAATATCATTATTATTATTATTATTTTTTAAAAAAACAAACTGCTAATCATAAATATATATAATCAAATACAATACTATATAAATATATATATATATAGTTTTTATTATTATATATATAATTTATAATATTATAAAAAAAAAATATTATTAATTGAAGGTTTTCAAAATTTTATTTTTTAAAATTTTATAGAATAAAAAAATGTTTTTGAACTAGAACTTTTAATAAATTGAGTTATTAATATATAGTATTACAAATTATATACTTTTTTTTTATATTTTTTAAATTTTTATATACTTTACAAAAACATGCAAATTTGTAACTTAATATTATATACTATAAAATAACATCTATATATATACTATATTATTATTACATTATTATATTGTTATTATATATCAGTTACACAATTTGCTACACATGTTATTATACATGTTGGCAAAATTCCAAACTATTATAGTTTGGGTTTGGGCATGCCCAAATCCCAAACTCTGGCCAAACTTATATCTTAAAAATCTTATTAATCTTATTTATTTAAACAATTCAGATATATATTTATAACTATATATAATATATTTGCAAAATTTTAAGATTACTTTTTTTTGATTTAATCTTTTATAAATAACAATTGTATTTTTGGGATTTGGAATTTGTCTGAGTTTTGCCAACAAGTATACTAGATTACTGTACTACTTTGTAATAACTTAACTATTTAGACAAAATAAAAAATAAAAATAATAAAAAATAATATTCAAAAAAAAAGCTTTATTATAGTTAGTATAGTTAGCATATATGTATTTCTTTTTATTTAATTATTTTATTTTTTTAATATTAAAGTGATCTCTTTGTCAATAGTGATTTATTATCATAAGTGTTATTTTGATTATAGTGAGCGTATATATAGCCACATATACACTTTTGGTGCCTAATTTAAGTAGTCCACCCAAAGGAGTAGTACTATGCTAAGGGTTCTACACTATCTGCTGTATCTGTACTCCCGCTATATAGAGTATCTATTTAAACTCTCTAATCATATTCTTATTTCACCAAGTAGGACTTATAACTTGGATATAACTTTACTATATATACCAAGCATATAAATCTATATGATACCACTAAATTAATAACCAGACTTAGGATAGGACTATTTGTCCTTATTTATTTTTGAGGTAAGCCTGTTAGAGTAGTACATTCTACAATGTATTCACTTGTATTTTAGTAACTTATACTATAGCTTAACCTATGCACTTGGATCAGGGCTAATTATTGAACCTCTACTGTTATCTACTTCTACTTTTTTAAGGTTTACAAATCTCTGTATCACATTATATCACTTTTCACACCTTACTCCTTTTGGTATCATTGTACTTCCAATCTAGATAGCCTGGAAGAATTGGTTCACCCAGACCTGAGTTTCTTAGGCTTAAGTCTAAAGGTTTTCTGATCCTTGGTTCACAATTTTATAACATGTAACTTTTTTTCTGGATGACTTGGCAGCCTAGTTGGTAGATCTCTTTTACTTAGAAAATCTTTGTTGCACAACTTCTCCAATTTTTGGGGTCTAGTCAGATCTGTTTTGTAGTATCAAGTAGCACTTGATTAGATCAATCTGCTACTTTCTTAATCAGGATTTGCCAAGCTGATTTTGGTTTTCTCAGACTACTATGTATAGGTCTTTAATATATATTGATTCTAGAAGGTTTATCATAGATTTGCATTATCTATACCAGTTTGTATTTCTTTGTACAATAACACAAATGTATTCATATTTTCTAGTGCCAACTTGAGGCATTGGTGTGCCCTAGTTTACAGGTATAAAACCTAGCCCAATTTAGAATAAGCCATTACCATGACACAAGTAAAGTATTTAAAATGTTATTAGTAAAATTCGAATTAAGTACTATAGCCAACAAATTTGAAGGTATGACAACTTTACTACTTCACTATGTCACCACATCTATATTTAATTATTTTTATAACATATATGCATTAGTTTTTATTTATGCAAGAACAACTACTATAATAGCAGCTTGTACACTTCACATTTACATTTTTGCATTTGCACCTTTTATTATCACATTGTTATATTAGCATATTTTCTTTTATTTATTTTTTATTTTATTTTATTTGATATTAGATTTATTAGTATTGTTATAGAATGTGTTGGTATTATAAAATATGTTAAAGATTTTATTTCTAGCAGATCCAGAAGACCCTGACGATCAAAATAAGCTACAGTACATCATGATCAAACAGATAGATAGCCAGATAATCAATAAACAAGGTACTGAAAGATCTAATATTATTTTCATTTTGTCATATAGTTTTTATTTTGTTATTATTTTTGTTTGTTATTTTGTCATACAGTTTTTATTCTGTTATTATTTTTGTACTTTATTTTGTCATACTGGAAAATCTGATTAACAAGATAACCAAAAGATCTAATACTATTTTCATTTTGTCATACAGTTTTTATTCTGTTATTGTTATTTTGTTATATAGTTTTTATTTTGTTATTATTTTTGTTTCTTTTCTATTATACAATTTTTATTCTGTTGTACTATTTTTACTTTGCACTATTTTACTTTGCACTATTTTTACTTTGTACTATTTTTACTTTGTTCTATTTTTACTCTGTTGTACTATTTTGTATAGAGTTTAAAAGATATATAAACTCTGCTTTTTCTCTTTAAACAAAACAAGTTCTTGAGATATAAAAACATTTACTCTTAGCTTTTTTTATACTAAATAAAATATTATACTCTTGTCTCTAAAAGTTTCTCTGGATTATACTCATTGTATTAAGTGATTTTATTGTTTGTTTTTATTTTTGTTTCTAGTTTTTTTTTATTTTTGTTCTTTTGCTTTCTTTCTTTGTTTATTCACATTTCTTACTTTGGCATATTATCAAGTAATATAATTACTGCCACCAAAGTAACTATATTACAACATGTACCCTTATAGTTACAAATAGAATCTGACATTATCCCTACACTCTGAAGTCTCCCTGCTTCTTAAATAGATATTTCATTTGATAGAAGTTCATTAAGTTCAGGGTAAGTAATAGGTCTAAAAGTCTCAAGCATACTTGAGAAGTAATATACATTAATTATACTAGATTTACAACACAGTTTGTATTGATCTTCACTAGTCTTCTCTAAAATCTTGCAAGGTAGAGTTAGATGATTAATATTAAATTGATCAATTTTAGAAATGCTTATAAAATCACCAACTTTAAAATCAATAAGCTTTTTTTTTTTATTATTTGTTATACTATTTTATCAGTATACTGCTGAAGATTTTGTTATGCAGTTTTTTGGAGGCATCCATAAATAATGTTATGCTTAAGGGGGAGGGGTCCCCCAAAATATAATGATTTTCCAATATTTAGGAGGGGTTCCCCAAAATATAACGCAATTTTTTTATAAAAATTTGGCTAAAATTTGATCCAGTGGTTCAAATTGAATGATTTTGGTACCATTCGAATCATCTCGAGGAGAGGAGTCGAATGGTACTAATTTCATTTAATTTAGATCACTAGATCATGTTTTATTAACGAAATACTATTAGTTATTATGTTTTCTTATAAAATTACTATAAAATCAATAGTATTTCATTAATAAAACGTTATCCAGTAGTTCAAATGAAATAATTTTGGCACCATTGGATTTGTCTCACAGAGAAGAATCGAATGGTACCAAAATCATTCTGATTGGATCACTAGGTCATAATATATCCAAGTTTTTGTAAAATTTTATATATAAACATATGGATTTTTAAAAATTTTTTATATAGTCTGGGGGTCAAGAGCTACTATGTAGGGGTACATAATATTATATATAGATGCCCCCTTTGTAGCATTTCATATTATACTATAAATTTTAATATTAATAACTATATTTTCAAAAAACAAATACAAGTAAAGTTTTAAATAACTTACTATAATTATTAGATAAAAACTTTGAACAACCAAGATTGTTATTAGACAAATATACTGAACAACTACTAAAACTATTAGGCAAAGGCACTGAGCGAAAATACTGAAAATAACTACTAAGTGAAGACACTAGAGAATTACTACCAGACAAATAAAAAATTATTAGTTAATAATATATTAAATTAAAGCTTTTTTGTATAGAAGCACAACATATTATTATATCTATTTTATATAGATACTGAATTAATAAGTAAAGGCATCAGATGACCACTGAGACTATCAAACAAAGGTACTAAATAAAAAAAGCCATTATTAGTTAATATACTAAATAATCAAAGCATTATTATTGAAAAAAAGCACAATATAACTACTATGATTATTAGGTAAAAGCATTAAACAATTAATGTAATTGTTAGATAAAAATGCTAAATAAAAAAAAACTATTATTAAGTAATATACTAAATAATCAAAGCATTATTATTGGGTAAAAGTATAATATAACTACTGTAGCTATTAGGCAAAGGTATTAGACAACTACTAAAAGTATCATATGAAGACACTAAATAAAAACAATTGTTATTAAATAATATATTAAATAATCAAAGCATCATTATTAGACAAAAGCACAATATAAAATTCCTATGACTAAACAAGCTTTCTTCCCTATTATAGTCAATTAACTTATTCCACTATGACTTATTTAGGAACCATCCTAAATAAGTCTTTCAGCGTTAAAAGAACAACTTACATTTGAGTCATACAATTATTGATAATAAAATTTACATTAAAAAGGTTTCTTTATTATGTTTGAAAGGTTTATAGAGTACAACTACATCATCTATGGTCTTAAGAACTTCTAGAACAAAAATCTGCTTGCGTCTGCAATACTTAAATGCTGACCTGGTAATTCCAGCATTCCCAGCAACAAATCTAATATGATTTTTAGCAATAACTCCTTCATTCAGGTCATCTTGAACAACCTTTTTCACGTGTTTCAACTTTATTTTCTTCTTAGGTTTCAAGATTCTACCAACACATGTACAATCAAACTCACTCAAAGGATTTGCTTTTCCAAACACATGATAATATTCGGACCAGAAAAATTGTGTTTCAGAATCATTCACGTCAACATCCGAATGGCCTTTTAACTTCTTGTTAACCTTTCTTGTCGTAGGAAATATTTTCATTTCTCGCGATTCAAAGTCGATCGATTCAAACTCTTCTCGTTTGCGTTTTCTTGAATCTTCTTCCTAAATGCATGCATTAAAAATGTTAGATACGATGGTATCTAAGCAAGTAATTTCATACTCGTTACTAGCATAAACATTAAAAATATCATCATCGCCAGTCACTTATTCATATATCAAAATGATAAACAAGATGAGACATCTTCAGCGAAATACTACTTTGCACTTGCCTCACTCCCATACAGAGTCTCGAAAACTTCTTGTTGGTTGGATGGAAATTTGTTATGATAGTTTGACATTTTGGAGTTAAGAGAATTCGTTAGAATTCTCAGGGCATTTATCAAAAATACAACCGGATAAATGAAAATCGAAACTCAACATGCACCAATCGGATGATTGAGATGACCAATTGAAATTATTAATCAATTGATACAATCATGCGATGTTTCTGACCAAGAATGAATCCAGATTTAGACTTTTTCTTATCTGATTAACAAAAAAACAGAATAAAATAATCTAATAGAATGAGTCTTGATTTAGTTAATTGATACTGTTATCCGATAAACATGTGTGATGATGTGGTCATATGCACGCCACATGCGTTCAAATATACTCACTAATCCTTCCATTGAACCTAAATTTGGAGCAACAAACAATACCCTAAATATGTTTTGATTATGATCTACTGATAACAAGCATGATTTGTTATAAAAAATACTACTTTCAAACCGTACAAATCCAAATTTTTTACAAAATTTTTACAAAATTTTCAAGATTTA